AATCACTACATCATATTCTCATGTAAACTAAACAATATTCGCCCTTCACTCATGCCCGTCATGAATATGTTTCATTACCTACAAAGCTTCTCTTTACTTTGCCCCCACTACTCGCCATTAGAAATGAGTCATCATAAGACCAAGATAAAGACAAGGCCAAACAAACATACAAACACACAATTAGCAATATTGAGTACATAATCGTCAATAGTACTGTAGACACCTGATTGTGTCTTCCCAAAAACCAAACCCAATGATGAGTACTTTTTCACGTCAATGATTATCAAGCAAGGTGAAATGTGGGAAAGTCTCGTTAATTCCCTCTTTTTAAATTTTTTTTTTAAAATTATCCATTTTTTGTTCTATATATAAAAAATGTCCAATCTAGTTTAATTTGGTCCGTAATCTAGGTCCAATTATTATGTAGTTAGATGGGGATCAAAAACACAAATTGTATGATGCACCATGGTGCACCTTAAATTGTGTGCTCCACCACTAGTTTGACGCCACCTGTTTAATAGATTTCCAGCTGTAACTTTCTTCTTTCAAACCTCAATGTTGTTCCCTTTTCTAATTCACGCCTTCTTTCCTTAATCTATTATTTCCTTATTGCTCAATTTCTTCTCTTCAATTCTCTTCTTCTTAAACTTTTCTAATTTTTAATCATCATGCATAATTTCTCTCTCCTCGATTATCGCTCTCCTCTATTTTTTCTCTCTTTGTTTCCATTGTTGATTCCTTTATTTTGATTGAATTTTTTCATTATTGCTGTTTATTTCCATGTATTTAATTTCTAGACCTGAAGTTCTAGATAATGCAGGTTTGATTTCTTATTTCAATTGCTAATTTTCGCTAATTAGGTTTTTGTTTTTAATGATATTTGTTGATTTTACATTTTCTATTGATTCTATTAATGTTTTTTGAGCAATGTTTCGAACTCATCATATAATTATAAGGTTTAATTATTTGTAATTTCCTATAATTCAATTGGTTAATTGATGAACTAGTTAAATGATTACTTAATTTTAATTAAGTTGTAGAAATTTGAGATTAGATTTTGATTTCTCATTGTATTTTTATTAATTTGCGTTGAATTTGATCACTTTCTTATCAAACAATTGATGCATTTTGTTTGAGTTTAATATGATTCTGAACATGGCGTAATTGTAATGTTTAATTAGTTGTAATTTTATATGATTCAATTGATTGATTGATGAACTAATCAGACGATTATCAGTTTTTAATAAGTTGTTGGAATTTGCGATGATATTTTGATTTCTAATTTTATTTTATTAATTTGTGATAAATTTGATCACTTGTTGATTAAACTATTCATGAATTTTGTTTTATATGATTCTGAACATTTGGTTCATATGATTTCTAAACTTGATTTTGATATTTGATTATAATTGCTTTTTTCATGTATTTGAACTTTGTGTTTTATTTTTGAACTCTAATATTGGTTATTATGATCTGTGTTTGTTTATTGAAGTTAGAACGTATGAAGTTGTTAAAGAAAGTTTGAAAGCTAATAAGCAGCATTCTTAGCACTGTCTTTAGGTGCAGAAGTTTTTAAAGGGTGTTCAGCGTTTTGTGTTTGGGGTTTAGAAGTTTTGTAGAGGATTCAGAGGTTTTTTTGGTTGGGGTTCAAAAGTTTTTGTAGAGGGTTTAGAATTTTTGTAGGGTGTTCAAAGGTTTGTGGTTGAGGTTCAAAATTTTTTGTAGGTTGTTCAGTGGTTTTTGGTTATGGTTCAGAAGTTTTTATAGGATATTAAGTGGTTTGTTGTTGGGGTTCAAAAGTGTTTGTAGGGGGTTCAGAGGTTTTATAGGGTATTCAGTGGTTTGTGGTTGGGGTTCAGAAGTTTTTGTACGGGGGTCAGAGTTTTTGTAGGGTGTTCAGTTATTCGTGATTGGGGTTCAATTGTTAGGTGTTCAGTGGTTTGTAGTTGGGGTTCAGAAATTTTTGTAAGGTGTTTAGAGGTTTTGGTAGGGTGTTCATAGGTTTTGGTATGGTTTTGGTTGGGGTTTAGAGATTTTTAGAGGTGGTTAAAATTTTTTGAAGGGTGTTTAGTGCTTCGTAATTGGGGTTCAAAGGTTTTTGTAATTGGGGTTCAAAGGTTTAAAGGTGGTTAAAATGTTTTTGAAGAGTTTTTGTTGGGGGTTCAAAGGTTTTTAAAGGTGGTTATAATGGTTTTAAAGGGTGTTTAATGGTTTTTATTTGGGGTTCACAAGTTTTTGTTAGGGTTTTAGAAGTTTTTGAGGTTGGCTCGGTGTTTTTTAGTGGCTTATCAGACAATTCTAGGGCCTTATCAAAAGTTTATGGGGCTACCCATTTTTTTATTTGTTTACAACTACCCGGAAGATGGAAAACGTTTGGGTAGCACTACCCAATAACGTTTTTCGTCCATTTTACACATTAGTGGGGCCCACTTTTAACCTTGCCCACCCAATTTACTCCCTCCCCCCAACTACCTTTTCTCTCTCCTCTTCAATTCCTTCTTAATTTTCCCTCCCTTCTCACTGAAAAATTTAGATTCAAGAATTCAAGCAAGTGAACACAAATTCAGGTATTCTTTCACAATTTTGTACTAATTAATTGTTTTTCGCATTTGTTTACAAGTTTTAGAAGAATGCAATTAAAAGAATTAAGCTTTAAATTTCTGATTCAAATTAGGGTTTATGAGTTCAATCAAATTTGGGGGTTTTGATTTTAGGGTTTAGGAACTCAATTGAGTCTTTGATTTGGGTTATTTTAGGTTACTGATTAAGTTGTGAAGCATTTTTAAGTACTTTATATTAGTAATTGACATTGTAATTTGTAGGATGTCGAGTTCATCATACCACTCCTCTATGCAATATAATCCAAACAAGTGAAATTGTGGCATCCCACCAAAATTGGAGACATCGTGGACTACAAAAAACCCCGGGAGAAGATTTTTGGCTTGTAAATTCTATGATGTTGTATATGGTAGACGAGGATGCAAATTTTTCAAATTGATTTTACCGGTAGTCTTGGGAGAATTTGAAGGTCAATTGAAGAGAGTAAAAGAAGAGAATGAAGGAAGAGGGTGGAGTAATAATGGAGGGAAATAAAAGAGGAGAGAGAAAAGGTAGGTGGGGGAGTAAATTGGGTGAGAAAGGTTAAAAGTGGGCCCCACTAACGTGTAAAATGGACGGAAAACGTTATTGCGTAGTGCTACTCAAATGTTTTCCATCTTATGGGAAGTTGTAAACAAATAAAAAAAATTGGGTAGTCCTTCACAGAACACCCTATCTTCCGGGTAGTTCTACACAAATTTTCCTTTGTCTTGCTTCTGATGTATGACTTTAGGAATCAAAGTAATAGTAGTATGATTTTATCGAGGGAGGCAAGTGATCTCTTTTTCTTATATCGACCAATAATCTTGAAAGAATTTGGCCCCAAAACCATCAGAACTCGGAGCCTTATCAGGGTTCATATTAAAAAAATCATTTTTTGTAATCTCCTCATGTGATATGGGAGTTGTACAATCATTATCCGATAAAGAACTTTTAACAAACGAAAGGTCAAAATCTCTTGGGGAAGAGTAAATAGATCTGAATTTGGATTAAAAAGAGTCTACTCAAGAATCGTCATTATGTTTTAGTCTATATATATAGTGGTAAGAGCAATTCGTTTTTTCATCTTATTATGAAAAAAATCTTGTTTTTCGATCCCCCTTAGCCAATTTTTTTGTCCTAAGGTACCAATTTGTGTTGCCCAAAGAGAAGATGTTTTTCCCATTGACGAATCATGCGATTAATATGACTTACCAAAATAGGATTGAAAGGTTGAGTTTGTAATGATTGTACTAGATTTTTTATTCGTTCCTCATTTTTCAAGAGTTGATTATTATTATTACCAAATTTTTGCTTTGACCATAATTGGAGTTCAAATTTGATTCGTTGCATCTTATGTTGGATTCTATAAAATCAAGTACCTTGAATATTAAAAGGGCATATTTTCCGAACAATAGAGTAAGACTCTTATTTTATAGTCCAAAAATTTTGGAATCTTAAAGGCCGAGGTCCCGATTAGTGGTAGGGGAAATTAGAGTTAAAATGAGGGGAGCATTATCGGATACTGTAAACGTACAATTGGAAACATTACTATTTGGAAATAATTGCAGAAAACCTCTACTACTAATTGCCTTAACCAAATGTTCGTAGATGACACTGTTAGCATAATATTGTTTCCACAAGAAAGCATTTTGCAAACATGGGACATCTACAACATTGGTATTTTCAATAAATTTGGAAGTCTACACAATTGTTGCGGGGTAAATGGGGGAATCCCCAATTTTATCACTACAATCTATCATCTCATTATAATCCCCTAAGAGCCGCCATAGTAGGTGAGTATTTTGACAAAATATAATTAAATTGTCCAAAAAGAAATGTTTCTCTTCCACTCTTGAGTAGGGCAATAGGCAACTGTGATAAGTATTTCTTTGTTAAGATGTTTGTAATTAACAAGTAAGTGAGCTTACCTGTCATTTAAATATGAACTTTTGACATAAATTTTAGAATTATCCCAACAAATCCATCTAATAGTGTGATATTGTGATAATATTATGCGTGCATGGTGCATCTATAGTGAAGATATTGTGATATTAATTTAACATAATGTATCTGTCCCATCTAATAGTAATGATCATCAAATAACAAAAAATTGATAGTAATGATATTGTAAAAAAAAATATTAGAAATTATTATTATATAAATGTGTATATTAAAAAATTAATTTATTATAAAGAATCACTTTATTATAAAGATCAATTTATTTTTATTTCTAATCAAATATATTCATTGTTATACAATGTTTCCTATTGTGACATTTATATGTTTAAAATCTTTTAATCAAAATATATTCAAATATATATTTGATATATATAATTCAAAAAATTATAGTGAAATATTTTATATAAGGAATGAGATAGTTTAATTAAAAAAAAAAGAGAAAAAGGGATTTTGCAGGGAAAATGACAACATTAGGAAGTGACATATGTCATTCTTGGTGTTTGTTTTGGTATTATGCTATTGATTAATTTGAACAATATTTTACATTAATTCGAATGTTTACACTCTTATATTTTCCAAAGCACATATGAAAATTTCGAGTGTATTATAATGTTGATTTTGTAAATTAGTGCTACAATGATAAATGAGTACTTTAAATCTTTAGTACTTCTTATTTATTAGCAGGAATAATCATTAAAAAAAAAGCCAAACTAACAAACTCAAATGAAATAAAGCTCCATGTAAACGAGCCTTGTGATAATCATTGTTTACATATACCGCTTGCGTGTGAACAATAGTTTCTTCCACAACATGGGTTGTAAGGATCGCAAAATCCCCCCAAAGGCATGCACTGTTGCTTGGGGTCTACAATTAAATTTGTATGAGCATATTACATACGGAGTAAAAGTGTTAAAATCTAACTTGACTCAAAATGAGTTGATATGAACCAAATTATCACAATTTGTTATATAAAACAAAACAAATTATCAGAATTATATTACTTATATCTTAAGAAAATAATGACACAGTTTTCCACTTACCTTCTACACATTTGTGACCTGCACCTTTGCTGCACCTATATCCCAGACAACAATTACTAATAAATAAGAAAGATGAACATTTTTCTCCGATAATACCACAACTCTCAGATTTATCAATCATGATTTGCACTGCAAAAGTTTCACATATAGCATCAATCTATAGGGTTAATAGTCTACAATCTATTTGATATACGTATACAATAATAAATCATGCTAATGAGAATGAATTTGTGTTGTAAGTTTATAAGAGATTCTATTCACTAAGGTCCATGGTACATAATGCTAAGCTAATTGACTTATGATAAAAAAAAATAAAAAAATAAAAAAAAAAAAACAAAAAATTCACATTAATATGATGTTACTTTATTTCTTATCAAGTTACACTTAGATTACTTCTCATTACTGCCATCAATAATCAATTAGACAATTATAGTGTCGAAAAAACCATTAGTACTTAGATGATAAAATTTATCTTATATGATTGAAACACCTACAAAAATATAATGGACTAATTAATTGCATCATATGTGATTACAATAAAATTATATATATTACCTAGAGCCAGGATGAAAATAATGGCTACTACATTCTTGTTTGATTTGTAGAAAATCATTTTTCTCTCCATTTCGAGTGATAGAATTGAAAGACTATTAGTAAATTTATTAATTAATCAAATCATTTAGAAATATTTGTCTTATATAAGGGATTCTCCGCTTATTTATATATATGTAAATTTAATTGGTTTGATTTGATATCATTCTCCTATGTACCTATATAATTAGTATTACAACCTAGCAACCAACATTGGTGGTAGATATTGTTTAAATTTAGAGTTTTTAGTTTATCCATCCATCAAAATACAAGCATCAATGCATATGTTATTAAGCATTTTAATTAGTGCCTTCTTGGAATTTGCCGTGAATTCGTTGGAAGAAAATAAATAGTACTTGTATATATTTTGCAACAAATTTTCTTAGGAAGCGTACCTGATTCACAGAAGTTTAACTCCTTTTACATCCGAATTAATCTCATGCCACATATCAAGCTTATGGTGAGTGAGTATCAATTGCATCTATAATTAGTATACTATTTAGCTTTTAAATTTTTAGCTTTTTGGGTTTTTTTTAACTTATCATTCTATTCATTCTCTTATGTTCAAATATCAAATTATTATTCACGTAATTAAAATGCAAGTAATTAAGCCCAAATCATTGGATCCTCAGTTGCAGATCTAGTAATTCTAACTAGGGGTAGCATAGAATAATAAGGAAAAAATTTAGAAAAAGTTATATATCATATACTAGTATTATCATTTAATAATTAGCCATTAAATTTTAAAAATTCATTTTGGTAGATCTACAACTTTATAATTTTTTATAACTTAGACGAGAATCTTTCAAAATAAAAAAAAATGTACAAATATAAGTAAAAGTAATTTGTTTAAATAAAAAAAATCAGAACCTAAGAGACCTGTTTTATATATAACATATCTCTTTTCTTTTGACATGGAAAGCAAGTTAAATAAAAAAAACAATTAAGAGACCTATTTTATATATAATAGGTATCTTTTCTTTTAACATGGAAAGAGGCGAGCGTATGGACATTCGTTATAGCAGCCGCAAAGAGACCAGTTATTTAAAAGAATAGGTCTTTTTGAACAACTCTTTTTATTTGGGAAATTCTCTTTGGTAACACCATATTTTTTGACTTTCTCGGTGGTAAATTGAAAAAAAAAAACTTATTATCTTTGGTAACATTGTATTATTGTTTACCAAAGATAATAATCATTTTAGTTAAAATCATTAACCATGGTTAATTTTATTATTTTTTTAATAATTAACTTAAATTTAAATTTTTTTAAAAAAAAAAACACCCAACCCTCCCACCGAACCAGCAACCAGCCCCTCCCTTTGTCGGCGCCGCCGCCACCCAGACCCCCTCCCCTTTTCTAGCGCCGGCGAACAACCATTCCCCTCCCCCTTCGATTTCCACCTCACTTCCCTTGAAACTACCTAAAACTTCACCTCCCCCACCCCCGAAACCACCTGGAAACCTCCTCCACCCCCAAAAGCACCTGGAAACCTCCCCTACCCATCCCACCACACTCGAAGAACCCTAATCGGCCCTCCCACACCCTCACAAACCGTCGGCGACCTTTCCTCCACCACCCTCCTCTCTCTCCTCTAACCGAACATTCTCCTCCTACCGCCGGTGACCCCCCTCCTCTCTCTCCTATGACCAAGCCTTCTCCTCCCATCGCCGGTGTCCCCTTCCTTACTGGCAAAAAACGCCCCTTCAAACCCTAAATCGAACATAAGGAACCCTAAAATCGAGCAAAAATAACCCTCAAAACTGAGCGAAATCAAACCCAGCGAAATCAAAACAAAAAACCGAGCAAAATCATACCTTAAAGCTTCGAAAATTTGAGGAATTAATCTGATTTCATTTACGGAGAAGAGATTGAGAATTTGAGGATTTTCGAGGGGGATTTCAGGGTTGGGGGAGTTGGTTTCGGGGAAGGCGTGGTGGTTCAAGGGGACGGAGAGGCGCGCGGGGGGAGGGGAGGTCGACCGCCGGTGCACCGGCGAAGGTAAGGCTGGGCATCGGCGTGGGTTGGAGCGGGGAGGACGTGGCTGGCTGTTGGGGAGATGGGTGATTTTTTTTAATAAAAATATTTCTAAAATAAATATTAAAAAAAACTAATTAACCATAGTTAAATATATAGTTAAATTTTATCATTAATGTTATAATTGAATAATATAAAAAAATTAGGTTTACCAAAGATATTAAGATTTTTCGCAATTCACCACTGAGAAATGTAAAAACTATAGTGTTACCAAAGAGAATTTCCCTTTTTTTTTCAGGGGTAGCATGTGCCTTTGTGGATCTGCCACTGTCGATCCTCAAGTTATCATAGTACTAATGACCATTGCATTATGACCTTTATATGTTACTTCTTTACTACTTAAAGTTTTTTTAAGTTCACTCTAATATTGTAATTTAATTTAGGAAATTTTGTAAAAAAAAACCACCTTTTATAAGCAATTTTTTGCAAGAAACCACCTTATAAATTTTTTTTGCAATGACACATTTTAATTTATAATTTTTTTTGCAAATCAATGTCTTTATGTCGGAAAATAAGGTTTGACCCCATTTTCCTGCGTTGACTACCCCAATCTACCCACGAAACCACCTCTCTCCCCAGCCCCACCCACGAAACCACCTCCCTCCTAAGCCCCACCCACAAAACCACCCTTTCATGGCATTGACCACCATAAACACACCCCCTTATACGGCGTTGACCACCCTAAACACACCCCTTTAACGACGTTGACCACCCCAAACCCTCCTCTATAGCCCTAGCCACCCTTCTCCCCTCCATTGTCAGTTTCGTGGGTGCAAATGGTGTAGTCAACGCCAGAAAATAGGGTTTGACTCTATTTTCCGGCATAAAGGTATAGTTTTCCAAATAAAAATTTAATTAAGGTGTGTCTTTGCAAAAAAAAAAAAAATTATAAGGTGGTTTCTTGCAAAAAAAATGCTTATAAAATGTGGATTTTTGTAAAATTTCCTTTAATTTATAACTGTATCTCCTCGTCAGCCACATCATTATTTAATTTATATTTGGGGGATTTGACAAGTGAATAATTCATTACTACTACTACTTCATATTTATCTTTCATTTGTTATCGATGTTACACTTTCCATAAACAAAAATGTCACGATACATGCTATGATAAGTGTGTATGCTATACTCTTTATTATTTTGTCCAACATTCGCCACTGCTTGACACTATCATCATTCATCAAGTTATTCAAAGCCCTTAGAGCCCAAGAGAAGAAAAGAGATAAGTGATTACATCATAGGATAATATTTAAGTAATAATAATTAGAGTGCCTTGAATTAAGGCTGACCCGCGAGGACCACAATATTTCAGTTCTAGATATTATGTTGAATTGATAAACGTAAATAACATCGAGAGAATGAAACAATAATAATACTCTTATTAATTAATTGCTACACATTAACTTGCACTACACTACATTATTTATTTTTATAAGTTATAGTAAGATTGTATATGCATTTTTATTAATATCCTTATTATGGCATTTTAATCCTTATTTTCAGTAGGAAACAACAATACATTTTATAGATTAACGACTAAACATGGTAGAGGATATACATTTTATAAATTAACGGTTTAAAAAATATATTATTTATTTAAAGTTATTGTTATTGTACGATATTTTAGGCTGCATACTTTTTTTTAACAATTATCTTATTAGTTTTTAAGGAAAAAAACTATTAAAAAAAAAAGTTTTTTGACGGAAAATTTTTGTTGTGAAAATGTCACGTGTACTTTTGGGATAATACTAGCGATTACTTAAGTATAAAGTATTGATTGATTAAATTTGAACAATATCATATTCGAATGTTATACTTTAATATTTTCCAAATCACACATGAAAAAATTCAAGTATATTACAATACTGATTTTGTTAATTAGTGTTACAATGATAAAGGAGAACTTTATATATTTAGTACTTCTAATTTATTAACCGGAATAACCATTTAAATAGCATCTATCAAACTCGAATGAAATAAAGCTCCACATAAAAGAGCCTTGTGATAATCATGATTGTTTACTATAGACATCTACCGTATGCACTTGGACAATAGTTTTTCCACAGCAGAGGTTGTAAAGATTGCATAATCCCCCCGTCGGCGTGCAATTTTGCTTGGGGTCTACAAACAAAGTTTTACGAAGCATATTACATACAGAGTAAAAGTGTCAAAATTTGACTTGACTCAAAAAAAAAAATTGAACCAAATTATCACAATTTGTTGTAAAAAAAAAAAATCACAATTCAATTACTTATATCATAAGACAATAATGACATAATTTGCCACTTACCTTCTACACATTGGTGACCAGCACCTTTGCTGCAGCTATATCCTGGACAACAAGTACTAAAAAACAAGAAAGACGAACATTTTTCTCCGGTAATACCACAACTTTCAGATTTATCAACCATGATTTGCGCTGCAAAAGTTTTACATATAGCATCAATATGTAGGGTTAATAATAATCTTACAAACTATTTGGTATACGTAGGTAGTTATAAATCAAGGTAATGAACATGAATTTGTGTTTTATGTTTATAAGATATTCAATTTAGATAGTAAGGTCCATGGTACGTAATGCTAAGCTGATTGACTTTAATTTATGATAAAACCACATTAATTATGATGGTACTTTATTTATTGCCAAATTACACTCAAATTCATTCTCATTACCGCAATTAATATCAACTACTGTATCGAATAGACCAGTAGTACTTAAAATATAAAGTTTATCTAATAATGATTAAAACACTTACAAAAATATAATAGATTAATTAATTGCATCATATGTGTTTATAAAGAAAATGCATATATTACCTAGAGCCAGGATGAAAAGAATGGCTACTACATTCTTCTTTGATTTGTAGAAAACCATTTTTTCTTCCATTTCGAGTGATAGATTTGGAAGACCATTAGCAAATTAATTAATTAATTAATTCACTTAGAAATGTTTGTTTTATATAAGGGATTCTCCGCCTATTTATATACCAATTTAATTTGTTAATTTGATATCATTCTATTGTGTACCTATATAATTAGTACTACAACCTAGCAACCAACAT